AGTAATAAGAATGATAAGCATCATCACCAAAGTCATGAGAACAAGCCAAGGTCCCATGGCCAGTGTTTCTAAAAGTTGTTACAGATAAGTCATTCCAGAGCATAAAGACTGTCCAAAATATTTCCTTGGAACATCTGATAAATTTCTTTCTTTAAAGAGAAACTTTGCAAAGAATCCCACGGCTCCTACTCATCAAGTGAAACAACAACTATCCTCTGCCTTTGTATTGCACCTGTTTATCCCTATAAAGATTGGAAATAATATTCTCTTTTTAGTCAGGACACATTCATTAAAAATTGTCATTTTGCACCATATTACAGGAGGCAGAGCAAGTAAGGGCAAATGATTGATTCACTACAGCTCATAAATACTATTGCAGCTGCAGACGCTGAATAAGATTCTTCACTTTTATTGTCTGGTTTTTACACCACTTTCCTTTCCCACCTGAGAAACTGAGTTAGATAAATCCATTAATTACTTCCGTAGCACAGTAATTCTATAAACTGTCCTTCAGTAAATGATCTGGGGTGTTTTAAACCCATCCCCCAGACCTTTTGAGTAAAACTTTACAACAATAAAAATGTGACAGAAATGCAAAAAAAAGGGGGAAAAAAACCCCCAACCAAACAAAAATCAAACAAAAATCCAACCAAACAAAAACAACAATAACAAAAAAAACCCCAAACCCAACCAAAACCCCCCAAAAGTGCAGGTTTTGAGGTATTTGGGGTGAAAAAGAAAGGATGAATCAATGGACCTCAGCAGTCCCTCCTGTGGGTTTTGTATGTTTTCCTCATGCATTCCCAATTCTTCCAGCACATGTAATAGCTGGTTATTTGAAGCCAATTTCTTTTGTTGTGAGGTTTTGTATGTTTATTTTTCAGAGAGCCACTTCCACCCAGCACAAAAAACACCAGTGATATCCTTATTGCTGGTTAGGAAAGGCTGTTCCGAGGAGTCCTTGGAAAAGCCAGGTATCCGTTATGTTCCAACCGTATTCCATGAGGATAAAAACAGTTACAGAGAAGAATCATTAGAAGAAATCATTAGTTTTGAGTGCAGAGATACAACGAAAGCTACTGCCCGAATTCCAGGAGCTACCCTCCCATGGAGAAAATTCCCTCCCAGGATAAAGAGAGGAATGCAGTCATGAGGAGCCGCAAGAATCTCCTGGCTTGGTCCGTGTCACCAACCAAAAATGCTTCTGCACATTCTTCACACGTGTCCATCCCTCCCTTGGATGTACCTGCAGCAGGAATTGGGCAGGAACAGTGCCTGGCAGGAAGGAGATGCTGTCTCAAAAAAAAAAAAAAGGCTTTTTAAAATTATTTTAAAGAACAGCCAATTAACCTCCCTTCCACATATTCCTGCCAAACAGTGACAGGAAGGAATTTTCCTGCGAACTTGGTCTTATCTTCAAGGCCCCTAATTTGGCGAAACAATTACTTCCAACTGCTTCCTAACAATCCCCAATTAATTAATTTTTTTTCCTCTATTCTCCTGTGCACAGCAGCCAAATGGGAGCCCCAGCAGCAGGAGCGTTTGCACTGGATGGGATGTGCTGTTTCCCACACTTTGCACTGCTGCTATATTTGTTATTTAGAACAAACCCAGATTGTTCCTGGAACTGTGCCTATAGAAACTCCTGCTGTAATGTGTTTATATGATCTATAATTATAGGCAAGCTGCAACCTGTCCACAGCCACTGCAGAACAAGTTGCATTATCAAACACATAAACCAGTCCCTGGATTAACTATTCCATCTGATAAATTCCCTTTCTTCAGCAGCTAATGCCAGAGGAATTAAATGAACACAGGCTGCACTTTTGAGCTTCGGTAGAAAAGAAATATATAATATTCCAAGCCAGTAAAAGGACATTTAGAACTCCTGAATATTCCCTGATGCAGCAGGGGTGTCAAGGCACTAGGGCTGAAGATTAGGCCAAGATTAGTTAATGTCAGGCATTTGCATTTGAAAATACTTGTGTAAAACCACAAACAAGATGTAGGAACAACCGTGGTCCTCACCTGCCAACGGAGTCACAGCACCCCAGCAGCTGAGCCTATGTACACAAATATAAATTGTAAAACTTGGTTCTAATCCTAGCAAACAACAGATCATTATAGGTTTTAATCTAAGTGCTGTGTCAAGATAAATGATTAGGACGGTCTTGGTACCTGCAGGGAGAAAAATCTTTATAGAAATAACATTTTATTTAAACAGAAGAGTGGAGTTGAAAGGTTTAATTATTAGAAGGAGAAAGGTTTAGTTATTAGAATTACTCTGATGTACTTTGCACACAGACTTTAATACCATTTCATAAGAGTATTTCATATTTTTTTGACATCAAACTTCTAAACAACTATTTTCTCAATAAAAATTGTAAATACATGCCAGTAATTTTCTGCTTATGCATTCTTTTATTCAAAGCAACAAGTTATCAAGAAGAATTTTTAAATCATTGTAATACTTATGAATACTTTTAATCCCATCTATTAAATATCTCTTTCATGTGTGATGTCTGAGACAGATTTATAAAACCTTGCTTCAATACTATCTAATCTTTTGCTTGCATGCCATTGTATAACCTGTTGCTACACATACACCGTAGGAACTCAGATAAAAGGGATTCTGATGGGATTTTTGGATTTTCATTCCCATTTATTCTGGAGCTGAGCCAGAGTATGACATGTAAAGCCACTGCATCTGAAGTGCAGATGCATGGGCAGGGCAGGATCTGGTGTTGCAGTTTGCCATTTTGTATTTTTTTTTCTTTACAAATCTTATTTTAGATGAAATCCAAAAACCTAAAAGATGAATTTTGGAGTTATAACTGGATGTGGTCAAAGGAACACCAGCACAGCTGGTCCCACTGAAATGAGGTGCAGATGGCAGAGATCTTACAAAGCAGTCTTACAAAATTTGGTGGAAAGACTACACAATCTGCCTTGTCAACTCACCCAGGGCATTCCTGCACAGGTGGGGAAACTACTTCTGCTCTCTCATATCTGATAATTTCCAGTTTGTAACTCCAGCAATATTTTATATGTGTGAATTAAATTTTTTTTTCTTTAATCTTGCTATACACTCATAATCAAGTGCAAGAAATAATTATACAGTGTTTTCATATGGAGTTCCCATAGGGTTTTGTGTTTGCTATTACATCATGACATTAATAAAGATTGTACAAGAAGTCAGTGAACGCTGGTATCTTGTACTGACTGATAAAGGAGAAGGAGGAAGAAGTAAATGAAAAGTTCCTTCCTGAGGTCACTGTGATTCTAAGGGCATTGCAGACATGTTTGACATTTAATTTTCCACAGAGAAATTCCAGAAGAATTGCAAAGTAGTACCTCAATTCTGAGCTCTTACAGCTCCAGCTCTTCCCTCCAGACTCTGCGGGTATGGAAAGCTACACAGGAAAATAACCCCATCATGCACCTCATTTTTTAAAATGAAAATTTTCTGGTGTTACTTTGAAGGAAGTCTGCCTTGTATTTTAATATTAATGACATTTGAACTAATATAGGAAGTATAACGTGTGTCACTTCACTAGAGAATGTTACTTAATTACAAATACACCCAATTATCTCTTAATAGCATGAATTTCTGTTTATGAACATGGCGAATGCTATACATTTAATACAGCCAGATTTATTCTAAACATTAACAACACCTCAATATGTAAAGTATTATCAGCCAGTCCCACAGAAAACCCCCCTATTTGAGTGTGCCAGCTGGTGGGTGTGACAGATCCATCCTTGGAATGGTAAGACAGCAAAGATTCTCAGTTGATAGGAAAATGTGTTTGTAGGGGATGGGGCTTTTTTCTCTCAAGTTCTGTTATGAACTCCAGGTTATTCAAGGTAAAACCTTTCTATCTGCTGCCTGCACTGTGTTATGAAGTGCAGAATTCCAAGTCCCAGTGGTAAACTATCCCTTCTCACATAACAGCTCCAGGCAAAGCTGATCCAGCTCATCATGGCAGCTTCAGCTGGGGGACTTTTGATGTCCCTCTTCTATGATGTGTAAATATGTAAATATAAATGTATGTATGTGTAAATATGAATTTATCAAATAGCTTAGGCAAATTGTTTTCTGCAATACTCCTTTCTCCCCATCACAACCTCCCGCAGCGTGATCTTCTCACCACTGTCCCCTGAGTGTTCTCAAACCCGAGGGGACACGTTGTGACCTCAGGGACGTGGCACTAAATACTGAGTAACTGCCCTGGAGTTCATGGAATTACTCCCCTCAGAAAAAATTAGGTGAAGAATTTTCCCTGTTCTTTTCCCATTCCTTTCCACTCCCTCCCCAATCCAGTGAAGACAGGGAACTCTTTCGGAGTAGATTTTATGCCACAGCAAAAAATGCCTTGTTCTCCTGGTACACCCAGAGTAATTAACACTACATTCCAGTTGATATATGTACTACAGGAACAACAAACAAACCAAAAGCCCACCTCCCACCTTCCTACACCCCAGCAGTGCCAAAGCTATCCTGACTTTTTGGAATAATTCTGACCAGAGGGTTCCCATGCACAGGGACAGTGAGCGCTGCCCTTTGTGAAGGCACATTAAGATAGAAGGTCATTGAAGATAATTCTGCTTATGAAGAAGGCTGTTGGTTTGAGTCAACCAATTTTATAATTATGTGTTACTCTTCAGGTGGAATTTTGGATGTTATTTTCTTTGATATCTTTATGACTCATGCTTCAGTTGAGCAAAGCAAGCTTCAATTTGCCAATGCAAGTGTGTACAAATTTGAAACTGGTTGGGTTGGGTGTGTCTGCCTATAGAAACACACATTTTCTTCTAGTTTTCAATGAGTGTTACTGGTGCAAAATTATCTGGCTACATCTTAGCTGAATTTAAGTATTTCATAGTTTGAATACCAGTCTTTAAAAGTGAATTCAACTGGGTAATTGCTGAGGTTCAGAAAAGGAAAACTGCACTAATTATGGCAAAAAAACCCAGTGGGTGAGTAAGAAGTCGTTTATCTTGGTCAGGTCACAGAGGTTATACAACCAGTTGGCATCACTTCACATCTGTTGGATATGCAGGCCCACTTTCCTCTCACAGCCTATGGAAAGCAGGGGACAAATTAAATGTTCTGCATTTGAGAGAATGAAGAAATGATTCTTTTTGTTTTCCTTCAGGCTTCGTTTGCAAAGCTTGGAGCGAACCTGCTCACCATTCTGCAAAGACACAGAGCACAGGGCAGCACAGCCCACAGCTCATTCCTGTTGTGATGTGGAACATTTCCAGCATCATTTGCAGACATCCATAGTCCATTTTATGTACATGTTATAGTACAAGTTAGACAAACACATGAAAAAATACAGTTTGCATTTAAATGTAGGTGACTCTCCCCAGTGCATTTCCTGGTACTACAGAAGTCCTATTTTATCATTCACTTGCAGCATATTGTATGAGAAAAACAAGGCTTACAAATCAATATTTCAATGTACCAATTCACTGCTTTGCAATATAGTTTGTTTATTATTCGTAAATGTATAAATATGTGGAAATTAATTGCAACATTTGCTTTCTCAAAATAAATATGTTTTTTCATCTACCAATCCAAATGTTTCCAAAGAACTGATTAATATCGTCTCTAAAACTGTGATTATGTCAATAAACATAAAGCAAGATATTGGACTAAGTATGACTCCCAACTGTGAGTGATTTATAGTGATAAAAATACACAGATGCCATCTGTACCAACAGAAGAACACTCGTCACAAATTTGTCTTATGGTAACACTTTGCTCTCATTTATACTGAAACGAGCACTATTCCTTTTCAAATGGTACTGACAGTAAAATATGGCCACTTTTCACATGAATAACCCACGAGAGGGAGAAATGTGCTGAAAACCATGAATTGAACTACTTATTTGACTCACTCCAGGCCTCCAGGATGGATCACTGAATGCTCCCCAAACATTAAGCTCAGACTAGCTGAGCTGCCTCAGTATCTGTCCCACACTGAGAGGTTTTTTGGGTGTAACACCCCGTACCTCTCGCAGAGCAAATCAAAACACAAAAATACCTCAGCCAAAATGGCCAAAGCTTCGGGATCAGAACCCAGCCTAAGTCATTAGTCAGCCTTCATCAGCCTGTCTGATGCTTGGCAGCATCTTTGCCAGTTCAGCATTAAGCAAGAGGGCCATGGGGTATGGACCAGGGAAAGCAGTGAGCACACAGTGATAAATATCAGTCAACTTCAAATGCTGACAGCGAGATCAAAAGAAAAGGAGGATTTAAATAAAATCTGCACACGGAGAGCTTTCATTAGCAGCAGTTGCAGAAACAAAGATGTGATACCCAAAGCATTATTAATTTCTAACCGTGCACCAGATACTGAGAGTTTGAGCCTGGTGAGGGGTTCCCATCATCATTATCATTTATTCCCAAGAGCAATAAACCCATGCCAAGTGCAGGATGCAGGGGGGTTCCCCCTGAGGATGCAGAGCCCCAGCTGTGCTGCCTCTGCCTCACATCCCAGCTCTGCCCCGGCTCTGACTGCCCCTGGATGTGCTGGGGAATGTGCTGGGGAAGGCAAATAACACTCCCACAGCCCTTCAAAAAGATTTTTTACTAGCAGTGGCCTTAAAGTACCCCTGCCTTGGGTTCTAAAATATGGCAAGCATGTAAAGTAAAGCTGTATTTGTTTCTGATTTTTGTTCTGCCACTGTGCTTCCACCCCCACTTCTGTCAGTGCTCCAGCCCTGCAAAATTTCCTTTGTATCAGAAAGCTGACAGATTTAGCTCCTGAACACTTCAAGTCAGTTTTCCTGTTGAAATTTAGGAAAACAGAACAGCTGTCATTCAAACATACTTTGCAAGTAGCAAGCCTGTTCACTTTCTAATGTTTATTCCCCTGAAATCAACACTTAAATGACATGTCCTCCTGACATGTCATAAAAGCCACACTCTGAGCTGACAGACATGTGGAACAAACATGTGCCAGAGCCTGGGGTTCCAGAGTTCTCACACATCTGATCTCAGGGACGTGTTTAATGTCTCTTTCTTTAGTGTTTTAAACTGTGCACAGTTTTTTGGCCCAGTGATCACTCTTAGTCAGGTTATGAATTTACCTTCTTGGAGTGAGACTTCGGGATGATTCCACCTGAAGCAATTCACTGCACAGGCCCAGCCACAAGAATGGAGGAACGGCGACTTGCCTCAAGCTGAATGGTTGAATCTGCTTATTCCATGCAGATTTTATGATTCTGGTGTCCCTCAGGACCTTTCTAGGATGCTACACTCAAATCCAAGATCTTTTTCCTCCTTAACCAAACTGTGAGATCAAGAAGCCTCCCTTACCAGCTGGGCAGGGAGGATTTGTTCATGAGCTCACTTGTTCATAATTCAACATCACTGTGAAATCCTCACTGAATCTTCTGAAATGAAGGGCCACACAAAATCCCATTTATCAAGGACACGGTTAAAACTCAGTTCTTAGTAACTTTTCCCATACAAAATCAAAGGTTTTTTAGATTCCATAGAACTATCAGAGAAACAAAAAAAAAATTCACTGTACTACACACTAGACAACCCCCAGCAGTTTAGTTTCCATCACTTAAACCTTGCTAAATTCTAGGGGGTGGATTTTAAATTCCAACTTTGATGCTGCTCTCTACATTAGCAGATTTTCCATACCAGTCAAATTCCATTTATGTGCCAGCAAGACATGCAAAAGTGGCTGATCTGAAATTATTTTCCCTAATGACATTTTCTTTCTGGATGCAAATATAAATTGTGTCTAAAGGTGTATCTGTTAAATGCAATGACATGGCTTGATATGAGCAGACACGATAACTACAATCCTAAATTAAATAACTGCTCATGAAAATTCTATGAAAATACAGTCCTGGTCTTTAATATTCCATGTTCACCTGCCAGCAACCAGCACTATGGGCATTCCTCTGCTGGTTTTAAAGTCAAAATAGTGCAATGTTCATTCTAAAGCAGAAAGAATTCACTCTTAGCATGACTGACTGTGGGTTTTTACTAATATTAATGGTAAAAAAAAAAACAGCAAGCACTAGACAGTTCTCTAAATGTGCCTATGAGTATGTTCTACTGTTTAAGTCAAAGTTGCATATTTTTTTATGCTGTCCATGCTGCAAAATATTTTAATCTAAACTATTTTCTCTTGGGAAAAGTGATAGAAGTTTGCTTTAGTTATCTGCACTTATTAATACCCCCATACTGAAAACAACACAGCAGGAATGAAATTAAATATGTGACAAAGACTGGAAAAAAATGCCAATTTTACATTATTTGTTACAAATCTATGGAGATAAACCGTATCCATGTAGCAACAGTCTTCATACTTTCATACCCCCAAATTAACAGGAGCACGTCCTAAACATCTCTGTGTTCAGGGTCAGGCTGGATGGGGCTCTGAGCACCCTGGACCAGTGGCAGGTGTCCCTGCCCATGGCAGGGGGTGGAAGGAGATGATCTTTAGGGTCCCTTCCAACCCGAACCAGCCTGGGATTCTGTGATTCCATGTAGGAAAGAACAGACACACAAAAATAAATGTCTCACTGCAATTCGCACTTAAAACAACTCATAGGGTGAAGAACAAACAAGGTTAACAAAGAGTTTGTTTCTGTCTTCTGGTAAAGCAAACCAAAGGTAATAATTTGCTGATCTATGCAATCCCATTTTAGAACTGATTGTGGGTGTGTAATTCCGTGCTGTTGTCAGAGGTTTTACTGCCGGGTCTCACATTTTGTGCCCATTTCCCATCCCCTTCCCAGCTCCTCCAGCCCTCACCTTCCATCCACCAACAGCCACTCCTCGTGCTTCTGCTTCAAATCTGACAATCCCCATCTAATTGAAAGAAAAACACCTAATCAAAGGCCCAGCCCAGGAGTGACTGTGCCATATGGCTGCCAGCTGGGAATGTGTGTGTGACCGGCGTGGCAGCGACGGCGGGGACAGGGACAAACAGCCCCGTCACAGAGGGACAGGTGCTGTGGGACAGGAGCCAAGAGCCCGGGCTTCAAACACCCCATTGCTGAGCAACCCCACACGAAGGCAGCAGGAATTGTTCCCCAGTTTTACAAAGGAGGTGACTGGGAGGTTGGGTGAGAACCCTTTTGGAAGGAGCTGGGAAGGAATCCCTGTGTCTGGTGTGGCAAAACCGATTTCCATCCCCTGACGGAACAAACCTCATCCAGCTGGGGCTGTCCAGGCACTTCCACTGCCACCACCAGCTCCGTGTCAATGTTTGGCTCATCACAAACTGTGCCAGGTTTTCTGGGAACATTTGGCTCAGGGTGACTTGCCTCTGTCCCCATGTTTTTGTTGGGATTGAGACCACACACATTTCAACATGTGATGCTGTTTCCCCCACGGTTCAATAGAAGCAAAGCTGTTGTCAGGAAACATGGCAAGGGGAGGGGAAGAGGAACATGGGTCTGAATATGGTGATAAGTGGGTGATAAGAGAATATATCAAAATATATCAAATTGGGAGTCCTCTCGTGTGGGAAATACAGGGAGCAAATGGCCCCAAAGGCACTGAGGGCAGGGACAGGTGAGAGAGAAGGAGACTTGAGCCCTGAAAAAAGGAGTGTCCAAAGGAGAAAACCATGTGCAGATTAATGCAGGGAGGCTGTAAGAGAAAAGAGAGTGTGGGCAGGATGGGGGGAAAGGAATGCACTGGATTCCTGGGACAATGAAAGAATGAGGAAGCAGCAAAGGACAGTAATAAGGAGGGGAAGGAACTGCAGCTCTGCACATCCTGATTTGTATGAGTGCACAGAAACCAGCCCTAAGAAACCACAGGGAGGCCAGAACTTGGAATCATGTTTTAGCAATTAATCTGACCTTCAAAAGTAAATTTAAAAATAATCACTACAATCACATTTTTCCAGACACACAAAATCCATTAAACACTCCAAAATCATTAACATATATGCCTTAGAGTCAGCCCTGGTGGGATTATTTGAATTTACAGAACCAGAATTGTCTGCCTTTGAATGTTACAAAACCTTCCAAGTGCCTGAGTAGACACATTCACATTCAGTCCCGGAGGATATGCTGAATCTCTTGGACATTCACAACACTATTTCACCTTCTGTTTTAGACACCAAGCGTTTAAAGTGCTGTTGGAGTGAGAGATCGTTCAAATCCTGGGGAAAACCTGATTTTTCCGAGTGACGTCAGAGTGGCCGCTGGTAGGAAAGTGAGAGAACAGCTCTCTCTGCTGGTGCTTTCCTGAAAAAATGCAGCTGGAGTAGGTCTGGATCAAAGCTGGAAGTAGAAATGCACCCAGGATAATACACTGTATTCCAAGCTCCAAGAATTAAGCTCCAGAACTGTCCTAATTAATCAAATAATTAGTGGCAGCCAGAGAGCTGCCACACTGCACTCAGAACTGCACCCGCACCCACCTGAGCATGTTGTCTTTATGGTCTAGGAGCCAATCCTTAAGGAAAAAGTATAAGGAACCAGTCAGACTGTGCTCTTTTGTCATCCTAAAAGCTCCAGCTCTGGTGAACAAGTGCTGCCTTTTACTTCTTCTAAAGCACCACGCTGACAATTGAGTGCTTTTTAAGTGAAACAGTGAATAATCATCCTGCATTTACTTTCAATCACTTCTCCATATACCAACCATTATATCCAACCCTCCCTTCTAAGTCCATGGGAAATCTACCCCTTGGTTCAGCCGGAGCAGAAATTCACCACCAAAGCTAATTTAAAATAAATTCTGAATAAAACACCCACACACTTTGGATGTCTTTCCCAAATCAAATTTGAGATCAGTTTGAATTTTACTTTCCTTGGCTGTACCTGTGCTTTGCCTACCGTGCAAGTCAGGCCTGGCTGTAAAAGTTCCTGATGTAGCTCCATTTCCAAAAGGATAAGGCACAATCCAACAATCTGCAGGAAGTTCATGCAGTAAAGGACCAAACTGTAAGAGATTAACCCACAACCATGGTACAAATTAATTATTAGTCTTTTCTGCAATTCTCATGATTTTTCACACTTGAAATGACTTTTTATCTCACAATTCAAACACGAAAAAGGAAAAATTTTATAAATACCAAAAGTATGGCTCTGCCCCCCTTTGATTTAATACTCTAACAAAAACTCCTGCAGTTGCTTGTAATAAGTATTACAATTATTATTTGATATCAGTGCAAGCTTACTCTTTTTTGAGGTATTATGGTTAGGGTTTAAGTGTTTAGAAGTTATTTTATTTTGAATTTATTTTTTAATCAGAGTCTTGGGCATGAGCTTAGATAAGTGCAGGCTTTCTATTTTGGAGGCACTGTCTGTCAAAAACCAGCCTTGGAAATGTGTAAGTGCTACATATACAGGGTTCTTTTTTTTTTTAAGATGAGATTTTTATTCAATGTTCCCAGAGGCAACTCTCACTTTGGTCAGCTGCAGCACCTGTGATCCCCCAGTTACAAAAGGACAGAGTTTGGTCAAATGCAGGCATGGTACTAAAATCCACGTGCAAGCAGGCTGGCTTTGCTGTGCTAAGCATTCCTAAAAGAATTCTAAAAACCAAGCAAAAAGAAATAGGATTTGTGCTGTACCTTCAGGGAGAGGAGATGACTCATTTAAAGAAACACCATCAGCAGTGATAGAGGCAGCTCTTGTCATAATTTTCTGCTCCAAATAAGCAAAACTCCATCTCTGGATGACTGGAAGGATTCCTGCTTTGTGATTTTTTTTTTTAAGTGAATAAGAACAGAAGTTCAGCAACTAAACTTTAAGTAAATGCTGCAAGCAGTGAGATTACAGAGTGAGAATACTTTATGATTGAGGTGTGGTCCAGGAGAAGTTAAAAGCTAAACTTGTTAGTCATTTTCAACATTTTTTGTTAGTTATTATTATTGTTATACTTATATTACATATACTCATATAATATACTTATTATATTTGTTGTATATATATACTATATATATACTATATATATTATTATTATTGTTATACTTCTTAGTACGATATCCATAAATTTCTTGATTTTAAGAACTGTGCCAAGGATTTCTCTTTACCATTAAGCTTTTCCATGGAGACAGAGGGTAAACTCGTACAATGAACTTACTACTTGTGACCCATACGGTGACAGAGACCTTTTTGGATATTCTGTGACCTAAAGTTTTGTTAATTTTTCAGCAGAAAACCTTAACCTGTTGGTCCAGGTGCTGAGGGGGCACCTGAGCAGCCCCACAGGAAAGGCAGTTTGATGGCATGTTCTTGACCTGTTACCCCTCCTTGATGCTGTGATTAACAAAGAGCTCTTCTAGTTGGAAAAGCAAGTTTTTGGGGCTAGTTTTGGAAAGCCAGATTTTAGGACTGCCAGATTAAAAAAAAAAACAACAAACCAGTTAAAAACTAATCCAGGGAAATTCAAAGACAGGCAATATCTCTGTTATTGTTTTTTCCGAGGCACAATCTATAATCTCTTCTCCCACACCTACCTCTCAGTAGGCAAGATGAGAAAGCACAAAAAATGCTGTACCACATTATTTGAAATAATAAAAGCCACGACAAACTTTGGCAATTAAATGATTTATAAATAGATATCCATAATAGATATTCAGGAAGTTTCTCTACTTTAGCTGCTTCCTTTACACAGCCTGGTCAAAACTTACCTTTTTGATGGCATTTCAAAGAAAAGAAGAAATTAGGGAAAAGAAGAAAAATAGGGCTTCCTTCTTAAGCTTTTGATTTCCTTGCTATAATCAAGATTAAAACAACTGACCTCAGTAAATATGATTATAAATCAAATAAACTCACTTTTAATAAAGCCCTGATCTGAGCACATGATCAAATGTGGAATAATTACATCAAATGAAATGATGAATTCATTGATTCCAGTTTTCTATAGGGTTTTCATGCTTATGTGAGCTAAATATATTGCTTAATACATTTTCTTTTAATATAAAACCATGGCAGTATTTTAAACAATGTTTGCATGCAAGCATTCATAATAAAGTATTATTTTGTAATGTTATATGTAGCATACAAGGAACAAAAATAGTGCAATTCTGTGCCCCTACTTCTATCTAAAGGACAGAATATTTATGGGATTTGTTAAAGCTGTAATTATCAAAAACTCAAAGCAAATTATATTTTCAACTGTCATTAATTTGTGGAATGTGAGCTCACATTGCCTACAGGTAGCACGCAGAGAAATGTTGATTTTGTGAAATCCATAAAGAGAATTTGGAGTTATTTCTAAATGCCACCATTGTGCAAAATCAGCATTTCTGCAAATAAACCTGTTTTTTACGTCGTGTTACAATAAAATCAAGACACACATTGTGAGCAAGACTTTCAGACCAATTAGGCACACAATTACATGTGCAGGAGGCATACACAATTGTGCAGCTAATTTGTGCATGAAATGGCTTTGATTGCACATCCTAATTGGATAAATGTGTGTGCAAATGCCAGCAGTCATTTGTGCCTGCAATTATCCAATGCACATCCATAGTCATGGCAACTGCCTGCAGAAATGAGGAGCAGTCTTGCATCCCTAACTGGGCTGGGGATTGAATCACAAACCCTTTGGATTCGCTTCTGCCAGGTCACTTGGACACGATATTTTGGGAGATTTCATAGTTCTTTCCCATCCAGATGAGCCCAAGGGATGGATGCAGGAATTGCCAAGGAATCTCATTGTCCAGTGAACAAGGAGAGGAAAAGCTGGGAGCTCTTGTCTGGAGATGCAGCACCTTGAGTCTGCCTTTGGTAAGGAGGAGATTAAAAACATACTGCAGTATAAAACACAGCAGGAACGTGGAAACATATTTTCCTGACACCTGAATTAGAATGACAAAATTTGTGGGTCATAATTGTGGTGGGAATAGGAAGGGAGAGACCCCTTGGCTGAGAGACAGGGCCCCCCAACCCAGAAGGTTCTGGATCATCATCACTGTCTGAGTTTGATCTCTGTGTGAAGTTGTTTTCATGAACCTCTGTGACAGTAAGTTATAAAATGAATAAGTGTGAAAAATCTTCTGTCTTCTCTTAGAGGGTTTTGGTACCTCTTCCAGGCATGACAATCATCCTTGCACACTCAGTTTCCATGTTCACAGTCTTCAATATTATAATTAAAATTAATTCTTCCATTTAAAATAATGGAATGGAGTTAAAATACATATCCACACATATAAACAGGAGCCCAAACTGTGAATGAATCCGTAAAAGAAACAGCATTTACATTATTTATTTCAAATTTAAAGAGGTCTTTAAACATACAGAGATATACAGAAAAATGGTGTTTGAGAAGAATGGGCTGTTCAAAGGAGTCTAGTGGAGTTTGAAACTCAGTGGGAGAAAGGCTCCATAAAGTCCTTTACAGCCCTGGAAAATCCTCATCTAAACAGATATTGAGCAGCTAAGAAGAAGCAGAAGTGCAAGGGGGAGGTTTATGCAAATTCATTGTCATAAACTACCAAGAACATTAAATCAAGTGCTTACAGAGCAGTCTCAGGAATTTTAAGGACTTTCTTCAGTCAAGCAAGTTTATTTTGCTAGCAGAAAGTATGTTACTATGAATCTATCTTATAAATGAGTGAAATAGCTTCCTCCCTCAATTGTTGTCTTCAATTCTGATCACACTCCTTCAAAAAAAAAGTGTACAGAACAGACCAAAGGGCTCCAGAGAAGAGGAACAAAAATGAGCAAAGCTATGAAAAAAATATGAGTGAAAAATAGGACATTTTTCTTTAGTAGACATGAGTAAAAGATGATGTGATAGACAAAATAGCAAACATTTAAGAAGGTAAATTGTTTACTCTCATAACAGAGGCAGAAAATAGAAGTATATTTAAAGCTAAAAACACCCACTCTTCTTAAAACTGAAGTATAATTAATCTTTGAAATGCATTGCCAACAGGCAGCCCACGAAACAAGGATCTTATTAATAAGAACACGCAACCACACATCCCTAAAAATGGCCAATATTTGCAACTGCACCAATTCACTTTCAGGAAGGTTTTAGATCTTTTCCCCAAATCAAAAATCCTACATCTCTTCAGGCTAATTTTTTTGGTCAGAAACCCCCCTGGTGATGCCCAGTCCTGCTGCCAGCTCGTCCTAACGTGGTTCTTGGGAATCTGGAAAGTTCTGGTCTCTTCAGTCCCTCTTTGCAAGGAACCTGCCCCATCCTGCCCATCATTTCACTGCCTCCTTACAGCTTCCCTGGCTTTCCAAAATGCTTTTGGAAGTAACATTATTTCTGAGCCAGGGCAGAAGTGACCTTCATAACTTGGAGGGCCTCACTTGAGAAGGAACATCTTCATTTTCTGTTTTCTGTGTCTCAAACATTTCTCTTTCCAAGCAGCCAGCGGGCACGGCAGCAACGCTGGGCTGACAGTTCCAAAGAAGCATGAACACCTCTGTCGTGATGGTTGGAGCTGAGTTACAGCCACCAGCCCTAACAATGACTTAGTTTTCCCTCCCACACACCATTTCACTTCAATGTTTTCTCCCTGAAGTTGAAAACTCTTCATTTGATGGGTTGTGTAGTGGTAAATCTATGGACTGAGCCACCCTCTGACACCCAAGACACCTAAATCTCCTGCGATTTTGGGCAGGTCACAACCTCCTTCTGGAGTTTTCTCTCCTCCAAATGGGGATGTGAGCCCTGTTTATGAGGTTTCCAAGTGTGCATCACCCCACAATGTGCTGTGCCAACAGCAGCGTTACAAAAACACCATCAAACTAACAGATGATGCTGTGGATTAAGCTCCATAATGCTGAAAGGAGGTGGGAGAGGAGGTATTTGGATTTTGATAGCTTTTATATCACAATAAAGATGGAGGGATGGCAGCTTGGAAACTTGTTGATATGCATGGAACTCCAGAAGCTCCTGTCCTTCCCCTGCAGGGCATCTGTCACGGCTATTCTCTTCCAAGACAGAGAAAAATGATTCAGCAGAAATTGAAGTTCCTCATTTCTATGCTGCACGGTCTCATATTCATTCCCAGGGCAGTTGAGAGCCTCAGAAGGATAGTTATTGTTAACATGCACCGTTCCTGGCCCCCGAGATGCCCGGTGAGGACACTCCATCACGGAAATCACGGTTGTCCTGCTGGCTGTAAGTGATGTCCTGCTGTCCCCACAGCCCATTAGGCTGCCCCGGGAAGATGTGTCCCCTGTCACTCCGGCAACTCGGGATTTCAGCTGTTTGCTGCCCTCGGGTGTAACACGGCTCTCTCCTCTCTGCAGATGGCAGTGTTCCCTATGCACAGTGGAGGAGGAGGACTCTAAAACAGCCTGTTACATCTGTGTGGGGAGAAAAAGCCTTTTAAACTGTTCAAAATTCTTACTCCTTCGCTCCAAATTCAATGTATCACAACTACGATGCAGTTCTGGCAGAAATGGGAAAGAAAAATTCAGTTCTCCAACACAATTCACAAGAAATTTGTGGTTTGATTGGTTTTGGTTTTTCCTTAACAGATTAATTTTTAACATTCCTCCCATAGAAATAACGTGCAATAATAGGTGTAGTTAAAATAAATGTCACAGACAGATCTTGTCACTATTTACAACTAGAGCTGTAGTCACTGGGGTTTTTTGAATTTTGAACTTTAAAGTGCTTGTACAGAAAAGGCAAACTAAGCACCTTAAGTTCTGTAGTATTATGTTTTCATTCAAAAAGATCAAGAATATGGACAATTTGTAAGGAAAATGGCATAACTCTGACCCTGGCCAACTG